GGTCACAGTGGTGGCCATCTCGGGTGTCTTATCCTCTCGTATTTTAATGAAAACGGGAAAACGAACACCAAAACCAGAGCTGGAGGAATTGGACTGTGTAATGTCTGCTCCAGAAATTTCACACACTAGCTTTGGTACAAACCAGCAGTCAATGGATTTGAACATGGACTTGGAAATCACTACACCATACTTGCTTTCTAGATCTTGTTCATTGGTGATTAATGGGCTTGGAATGTAGTTTTAAGGCTCTCTTGAGTTAATGTATCAAGCGTGTCGGTCGACAATCCTGATCCAACAAAGCACACAGTTTGAATTTTGCCGGTGGTGTTGTCGATTGCGCCCAACAAGAAAGATCCAAACATTCCTGCTCTCTTACCTTTACCTTTCTTCGCACCGAGAACAATTAGATCTATTGAGTCATAAAGCCCTCCATTGAGATACTCCTTTTTCAGCTTGTACCATCCTCTCTTGCCAAATTCATATTTTGAAGAGAAGCATTTGATGATGAGTCCTTCACAGTTAGCGGCTACAGAATCATTCATAATGTCATAAATATCGTGTACAATCTTTTTCGAATCTGTAGAATGAATGAAAATATCTTTTGCCTCTGACAATTTAAGAACTGGATTATCAATATTGGACACAATGCCTTCCAATGCCATTCTTCTGAACTCTAATGGAGAGTCTGTGAGAGGTTGGTTATCGAGATAAAGGATATCAAATGCTCGAATAATGGGTTTCATGGATGGCGCTAATGTTGCTCGATTTTGAAATTGTTGGAAACTCGCCACAATATCAGTCTCTTTGTCACAGATGACATATTCACAGTCCAAAATAAAACTCTTTTCTGTGATAGTATGGAGCGTAATAGCGACTCTCTTTCAGCAGGATAATGTGTTAGTAAATCTGTTGCTTTTCTATTTCTTGAAAAACAAAGAACTTGATTTGTTGATGCATTAAAATGTATCAACAATCTCTCTCCGTCATATTTGCGTTCGCATAATATTTTAGTCTCTCCCTCATTTCTTAGTTTTTGTAAAAAATTTTGTCTACCTGCTTGATAGGTTTGGCCAGCATGGGTGATATAACAGAACCAATCCCTAATAGAGGAGTGGTTGAATTGGACAAGGAAGAAAGGGATCCTCGGGTGATCAGAAAATCAAAAATCGTGCTTGGATCTCTGGTTTTGACATAGGTATCAATCAATGCAATAATTTGAGGGTGGGACAATTTTGCACTGGTATTAATTTTTGACTTCTCGATAGCTGCTGCTAAAACTGTAAAGAATTCATTTTTCGACATTCCTAATTCTTTAGATAATAAATTGATAACCAACTTTAGCTCCTTTGTCTTCCTAATTTGTTTTAACAGCTCTAATGCAATGTCAATCTTTTGTTTCGTCACTGGTTTCTTCACCTTGCTATTGGCATTTGAGATCTTTTTAGATAATCATACACTTCACACGTTTTGATGTATCGCTTTTCCATATTGTTTAAGTTAATTTGCTGAGTATATTTTACGATACAAGGCTGCAAGAAGTGAAAACAAGTCTCAAAAATATTACTTCCAGAATTAATGTAATATTCTCTAATTTCTTGTAAGCTAATATTTGATCTACTCTGGTAAATTAGGCCAAACAATGTTTCAGAGCGAAGTGTAAATGTCACTTGTCGTTTATCCAAAGCCTATAAAATGGTAAACGCAACCAAATACAATTTGAAACAAACCTCATCTTTTGTAAGCATGACATACACCATTTTCAAGGTTTCCGCATCCTTTTGTCGAGAAGCTCCTTTAAATAGTAAATCAAAGCATCCTTGTTTGCAGATTTTTCACAGGAATCCACTACGGATGCCAAGCAAGCAAAATATTCCGTGTCTGTTTTCACCTCTTCACCACTTTTATAAGTTTGTGAATCTCCAGCAGTATTGAGAAGCGAGGAATTTTGGCAAAAGCTTCGGTTCGTGTATGTCATGATTGGAAAGAATTTAGTTTTCGTTACAGAAGAGTAAACATTATCTTGGTGATGACGATGATTAATCAATGGATCTGTATTGATCATAGTGCCTCTGATACCGGATCCGATCATCATACTGGCTTTCCACAGTGAGGCTCTACCTGCCACGGAACGAAGTGAGAGCATTTTTTTAAAATTAAAATATTCTCAAATCCAATCAAAACAATGGACAACCTCATGTTTATTTACAACAAATGGAATCAAGCAAACAATGAAAGAAATTGTTCAATTTCATCGATTTCATCTTGCTCTGATGGATTTGTTTGGGTTGGTTGTGAGGTTTGTTGTTGGATGGAATGTGTGTTGTTGAAAACAACAACTGGAGGAATAGAGGCCACATCGTGAGTGCTCTGTAAGGCCACATCTTCGTTCGATTTGCTCTCAACAGGACATTGTTCAAGTTGTGATGCACCTTTCTTTCTTTGGTAGAGAAGAAATCACTGATGGCTGTGAAGGAAACTCAAACACGCGAAATTCGTCAGGAAGGAAAGAATTATCGTCCATAAAGGCTCTAATGTCATCAAGACCTGTATGTTCATCATTCAGAGGTGGACTCCATATAGTGAGCTTGAGGAAATGTCTGTCTTGGAGTAGAGCTTTCACTGTCCACAATCATGAGATGGGAGAATGAATTAAGATCACTATCTGTGGAGTGCATGGATC